AGTGAGAGAATGAGGGAGAAAGGGAGAGAGGGAGAGAAATGTTAAAGGCAAAGCATGGTGGACATTTGATAACAGGAGAAGTTCACGTGGGCGAATTGCTGCAGCCAAGGTGATGAAGGGAAAATAAAGTACAAGGGCGCAAAATTAAATTTTAAGGAAAAAATATATATGCATGACTGTGCGAGTGGATGTGCACAGTGTATATACACAGACACGTGTCTGCAGGTGTGTGTGCGTGTGCGCGTGCAGGCGTATACTGCGTCCCACCACCATGGCAGGAGGACCAGGGCCCACACCAGGAGCTCCACGCGGCGGCACAAGGGGTCACAGCGCTGAGAAGGACAGCCAGCTGGACAGTGAGCTCCGCAGCTTGCTGTGCCGCGAGGCTGGCTCATCTGGAACAAACCACTTGAAGCCAGTCTTCTGCTTCTAAGGATGGAGGCCTCACAGAAGTGGCATGAGATTTAAGCAACACCAGGGACTCAAATGTGTGTTCAAGGCATTTGTACAAACACAAAAGGATGTTTTGGTGTCTAGGAAAGCAATCCACGCCTGGGCCAAGCCTCCGGTGGAATCAACTCCCATCACAGTCTGCTTTCAGCCCAGAAACAAGGGACAGGAACGATTTTCCAGAGAGGCGATGCTTTCTAATTTCTCTATTATTTTCAAAACAAGAAAAAAAAGCAAAATCCTTTTCCTCCCTTTTGTTTCTCCAAATAAAAATAAATTACAACCCTAAGTTGCTAATAAATGCAGGCCGGGGCTGTCCTTAAGTAAAAGCTTTTGATAACAAATTGCCTGCACTAACTGCTATTTTATTGCTGAATTTTTTATTGTTGCTTAGGTAGAGCAATTATGCTAATCAGCCTGCGAGGATGGTATATGGAGTATTGAATCTGACAGATAAAATACTCAATAAAATGCTAATCTCACCTGAAAATTGGAATCAGACAGCCTTATTAGTATTTATGGAGATGGCATCTTAAACATGTATTTTTAAGATGAATATATATGAAATCAATGGTGTCCCGGAACACAGCCCACCATTTCTAGGCCTCCGTGTGTTCCACTCCAGGTGCTGAGTCCTCGTTGCCTTCATTCTGTTTCTTGCCCAAGAACCAAGCTCAGCCATCTCTACTGCATGAAGAACAGGCAGAGAAATGTTTTCTTTCTTTCACCATCACCCCACCCGCCCACCTCTCTCCCCCACCCTAGAAAAGGGAAGGGAAGAAGTGTCTGTCATAGCGGGGAGAGAAGGCAGATTTGACAGCAACAAGAGCCATTTGTCAAGCCATCTGGCGTCACTCTTCACCTGACAGGAGGGAGCTTGACTGTCAGGAAGAGCAGAGAATCGAGAATCCGAAGATTTGGTCCCAGTCGGGATGCTACCTCTCCTCCTGCCTGTGACCTTGCCAGGCTGCAGTTTCCCACACGGGGCCCTTCTGAAGCCCCAGGATGAAGTCTCTAGGACAAAGACACCTGCAGGGCTGCACTGACAAAGGAGCGCTCGGTGAAGGGCAGAGTAATAGGAATCACAGCAGACATGAGGATGGCAGCAAACGGAGACTCTTGGGAATGTGCTTGGACTTCACCGCACTCTCCACCCTCAGTCTACACTAGAAGGGGTCCAGCTTTAAACTCAGGAACCACAGACACCAAGGAAAAGCACAGTGGCTCTCTTGCCAGCTGGCCCCAGGAGTTAAACTGCTTTTCTTTTTCAGTACCTGTCACTGTTCTTTAGGGTAGTCACAGAGAAGTCCACTGCCCATTTTAAATGATAAAGTCCTGGGACCTAACTAACGCAATATTATTTACCAAAGACATTCTACAAACCCCATAAAGCAGTAGGAAAGCAATTATTACAATCGCTGTTCAGGGTTGTGATCCAAAAGTTGCCATAGGGGCCAGCCAAATAGCTCAGCGAATTAAAGCACCTGCAAGCAGGCACTGGGGCCGGGGGTTCGATCCCCAGGCCTGCCCTGCTGGCTTCACCCCCAGGGTGGGCTGAGAGCCCATTGAGATTGGGGATGGTGTTGTGCACCTGTAATCCCAGCACTTGGGAGGCTGTAAACAGGAGAATCATTTTAAGTCTGGTCTACTAGTGAGACCCTGAACACCCTGTAGATCCTTCCCTAAAATATGAAAGGAAAAAAAAAAAAAAAAAGTTGCCATAGATAAACGGAAGATCAATGAGGGCTTTCTCAGCCGCACACAGTGCATGGGTTCTGGAGTCAGGATGAGCCGTTTGACCTCCCAGCCAGCTCCAGCACACTTCCCTGCACACCGCAGGGTCCTTTGGGTCACGAGTACGTTGACTCATTTAAAGCCTAGACACCCAAGGAACAATTCCAGCGTGGAGGGGTGGGGAGGTATGGAGGGGCGGGGAGCAGCCCCCTCCCCCCTGCTCACTACAGAGATGTATTCCGCCCTCCTCCGGGCTTAGGCAAGGTCACAGCCCTTCCACATGTTCTGCTTT